GTTCCAAACACCAGTACCCACCACCGAGGGGATGGAGTGCACTCACGAGTGGATTAATTCTGGCATTAGCCAAGGAAGAAACACCCATGTCAGGAGCTTCCTCTCATCTTCCTTACTTCCAGAGGAACATCAGTCCAGCAACTATTTCTATGTCTATTCCAGAATGGTGAAAGAGAAGAGGACTTTGTTAAGTGACCCCAGCTTTCTAGAGGGACTGGACTTCCTCACAGTCATGGCGCTCCTGCTGTGTGCACCTGCTGTGGTGAAACCATAACACAAATAAGGTGGTGAGACACAATTTCACTTCAGATTGCCATTATACCTTGGATCTCTCCCCTCTTTTGTTGAAGGAGTCCTCAGGCACAGGAGCAGTCTTCATTCTTCGGCTTCCAAGGACAGGGCTACTGATGGGTCACTGAGTAACATGAGAGGTAAAAGGGAACTATAGGATTTAACAAAAATATTCTGTATTTTTAAACTTAGACTTTGTCTTACAGTGTCTCCATCAAGAATTTGTGAGAATTTAATGAAATAAGACATGACAAATCAATAGAGAAAACAGCATCTGAAACACAATGCAAGCATTTATTGTCTCCTTGTGCATTAAATTACCCAATTAATGTTTCCTGTTGCCTTAGCCTGTTCTAATAAGGCTTGACTGTCGCTATCAGCCCCTAATCTTCTAAATGATGAACAAGAACTGCAGCTGGATTTACAAGAGCCTTTGGGGCACAATACCAAACTCCCAGAGTGCCAAAGATCCATCCTTGGAATAATGCTTATTAGGGGCTCTCATTCATTACCATTTACTTCACACAGATATCCACTAATAAGATCAGCTCAGCTTTATTATTTATTAAGCGCTATTAAAATAAATACACTGGACAATCAATCTCTGTGTATTTCACATTCCTCAAAAAAGAAGCTTTTTCTCCCATAAAAATGTCATTTCAGATAGCAACACTCCCTTGAATCAACTGAGTTTGCCTATTTCATGGGCTTGTTTTTCCTGAAAGGGTGATCTATAGTTTAAAACATTTTGTGGTAAGAAAAATGTTTCCAGAGTAACCAAAAGTATTTTTTATGGTTTGTGTGAATGAATTAACTAATTAGAATAACGATGTTGGGAAAGAATTGTGAGTAATAAGTAACTAACAGGGGTAAATGATTTTTAATAGACAATGGTTGTGTCTTCAGAATGATAAATATTTTCACATTGTATGATAAAAAAAATCTATTTTACTAAGAGAGACTTCTTACAAAATATGAGGTTGGGGGCGGGGGGGAGGAATAGATTCATTTAGATAAAATGCTATTAAATTGCCTGTATAGTGTCCTGTCAGACAACTATCGACCCCATCCCATGGGAGAAATCGATTTCTGTGCAGAGAGCTATGTGCTTTCTGCAGTGTATTGCTTCAGTGCTATTGCTCTGGTAATCACACACTGCTGCCTCTTGTCCTTTCTCTCTCTCTGTCTATTTGTTGTGGAAAGATTGATTGAGAGACATGAGGGATTTAAATTGCCATATTTGTTGTTATTTGACCTTTTCAATTATATTCTGTTAAAAATGTAAATACTTCATTTGTAGTAATGTACATATGAATTTGCTTAAGTGGTCTGCGAGTAAGGTTTTCAGGAGGAAGCATTTACCTTTGTTCTCCTGTAGACCTGTAAGAGCTGACTCAGTTAAGTGAATTCTAATGCAGCAGAGGATGCTCCCTGCTTCACTAAAGCTATCTAGGCTAATTCTCAACACAACAAGATCTAAAGATGGGGAAAATAATCCAAACTATTAACACCAGAACCACAAAAGTGCTGAAAAGTGAAATGATATGTGATTAAGTATCCTTGCTTTAGTTTGAATTGGTTTCCCTTTTTTTGGACATAAATACCTTTTGTCAGTTCTCACTAATGACAGCAATTTTTTATCAAGACCAAAACACTTGAGGTCAAGAAATCATAGCATTAAAGTTGAAACACAGTTTTAAATCTTCCTCCTCTGCAGGCAAGTAAGAAACGAAGTCTTTAATTGCCATGTAATGGTCACACACGGTTTCTCATAATACAGCTTCAGTTTACACAACTGTTTATCTAATGACTTATGTATGTGCTTGACTATTTCCACTACTTCTTGTCATTCTTACATTAGTTTCATACATTAGTCTGAGTCACCTTAGCATCATCAGTGCTAAAGCAGGTGTTTGGATATCTGCTTGTGGGAATCTAGGTCCTTACTGTTGTCTCAGAGTGTACCTTGGCATTTGCACATGGGGAAATCTCTGAATGGGAAAAAGCCAGGATAAACTTTCTTGTTTTACCTCATGCCAGTGCTAAGGGCACAGAAGGGAATATAGATCTGCTGGTAGATCACATTTATACTTTAGTAGTCACAGGCTGCTGCATTAGGCCTTGGGAGGAAAGTGTAGGCTTGATTAGAGCCTTGCACTTATCCAGGCTTAAAGACCAGCAAACTTCTGAGTCCACCAAGGGTATGCCAAATATCCAGTTTCAATGCTTTTATTTTTATTATGCCGGGTGGACAAAGCTGCAAAACCAGATTCACTGGTGATCTATAAAAGTCAATAAAGACAGGATACAGCTTCTCCTTTGCCTTTTACTTGCCCGTGTCTTTTAACCTGTAGTAAACAGACATAAAAGACTGTCCAGTCAAAATTGCACTGCTTTACACTGATCTTATGCTCCCTCCCTCCTGTGTAAAGAGATGGCAGAACTGTGATGAAACTGCCATGAGCAAGGATCATTAAGTGCCTTACAGAAATTTAGCTGTGCTCCTGGGCATGTAGGCAGCATTCTCTACCTTTACCCCATCGGCTGTTTGACAAAGCTGCCGCAGCCTTTTTTAGAGGTGACACGGGGCCATGGGGCAGAGTTCAAGCCAGCAAAATGTTGCACCACAGCTCTCGCAGAGGGTGAGCCAAGGCAGGAGAGGAAGGTAACAGCACCCTGTTGATGTCCTGCAGCAGTTGTGAGGTTGCTGCCTTGGAAGGGATCAAGGATGACTACAGAGCAGATTTGAAAGTGAGAGGGGAAAGGGGGTTACTTAGTTGGAAGCTAATTCGGTGAGGACAGTGGGAAAGGCAGGCATGTTATGAGGAGGGACAACTGCAACAGGAAAACCCGATAGAAACTTCATCAGAGTAAAACCAAGCCTCCCACTGCATTCCCTCTTCAGGGGCTGGTGACATTGGTTTCCAGATCCTGTTGTTTGTCTGGCCAAACCTTTTGCTTTGTGCTTAATGATGAGTGGGGCACATATGAAAATCATTGTTACTGAGCTCTGGAGAGGTGCTAGAGAAGAATAGAGACAGGCTGGAAGAAAAGAATCTATTTCAACATATAGGAAAAGAATCTCAACTGGGAGAGTGGTGAAACTTTGAACAGGTTGCCTGGAGAAGCTATGACATCTGTTTCCTTCCATAGTTTCAAAATCTGACTGGACAAAGCCCTGAGCAAACAAGTCTAACATTAAGATTAACCCTGCTTTGAGCAGAATGTTGGCCTAGAGAACTGCTCCCATTCTCCTCACACCAGGGTCTCTTTGAAACTGAATCTTTCTATAATTTTATAACTCCTGGTTATATCTAAGCATTTGCCTGAGATACCACCAGGAGAGGACAGCAGCTCCATCCCATGAAATCGAGACTTTGTTTTTCAATTGCTTTTTAATGCTTTGTATAGCACAGCAAGTGAAGATATATTTCTTCCCTGCTTCCTACATGCTGGCACTCCTCCCCTCATTAAATAATTCCCTTTAACTTTGCTGTGACTGGAGGCAAATGATGACTTCTCATGCCCTTTCAGAAAAGTGCCTAGGCAGGAGGGAGAAGAATGTATCTGAGAGCATAACGTGCATGGGTACAAGCAAGTCTCCCAGCCATGAAGAGATGCAGATGAGATGGGAATGCTCAAACTGGGTGACAGAAGCTGTTGAAGAAAATCACTGACTGCAGCACCATAAACCCAGCTCCTCTTAACTTCTGGCCTGAAGGTATGAGATTCTCTCCTTCTGTCTTGGAGTGGGGAAAGGGAAGGAGAAGCTGCACTGTGTGCTTTTGTTAGAAATACAAAGGAAGGAAGATAGGAGAGGAGGGAGGATGAGAAGCCAGAAAGACAGGAGGAACGTGGAAGTGTGGGGGAAAATGTATGTGGGAATTTGTATAGGGAATTGTCAAAGCCACGTGTGTTTGGGGAAACATCATTGTATGAGTACCTATGAAGGAAAGGAGTCTGGCATGTGGGGAACAGCAAAAGGCCCCAACAGTGAGACCTATACCAGAGAAGATGGCTCTCTTCCTTATCTGTTCTCAGGTACCATAAGATGTTTACAAGAGTAATTTTGGTCCAATTGTGACAAAGCTGACACCTCTCAATAAACAAACAGGGGCTTTAAACTAAATTTATGTGAAAGGGACCTTAGAAATAATAGAGGGATATAAAAATCAGTTACATCTCTAAGGTATGACATTTCTTGGGACCTGTTCTCATTTGCTTCTTAATTAAGTACAATTTAAGTTGATACCCATTAGAAGTACATCCAAAGGAAACTGCTGGATGCCCCTGACGAAGAGTTTTCTTGTTTCTCTCTCAGAACAGAGTGACTTTTGCACTCTGATCACTTTTGGTAAAATAAACAAAGCAAGCTGCCTGTAATTGCAGAGTCCAGCGTTGCTAAACCCAGGATTTTTGTAAGACACCCCTGCAGTCCAAAGTACCTTAGCTTCCATTCATCAGCTTGTGTTCATACGTGCCCATGCTTCAGAGAACGTTTAATCAAGGAAGAGACTGCCCCTCATCCATCCCCAGTAATTTAAAGCAAGAATCCGCCATTTTAACATACTTTATTTGTGCATGTGGAAAAGGCTTTGCCTTTCATGCAGTGACAGGGAAAGCAAAGAAGGGGAGAAGCTGTCAGATAACCGCTGGTAAGGGATGAACTGCTTGCAGAGCTTACTTCTGGACTGATGTTTTTCTTCTATTCAGTGTCTTCCTCCTTTGCCACCCATTGCTAAGGACAAATACAGAAAAAGAAACCTGTGTGAGAAAAACTTAAAGCAAAGTTGCAGTACAGGGAAATGCAGAATACCTGAACATTGGTTACAAACATTCCCAGGTCAGAGACCAAAGGTCTGTGTTACACTTTGAAAACATTTTTTGAAATTCTTAACTTCAATCCTGTCTCCAATTCTCTTGCAAACACCACAGGATCCCACTACCATAATTAGCATCCTTACCGATGCATACAGGCACAGTCTAGTCTTCCTCATACCTTGGTTTGATTTAACTAGGTGTGGGTTGTGTCAGCATGGCAGGGTGATGAGGAAACTTCTGTTGTTCTCTGCTTTGAGTTGCTTTTTGAGGTTAGCCTGCATTTACTAGCTCAAAAAAGCCTCTTCTTTTGACCCAGTGAATTTGCTTTAGAGGAAAGAAAGCTAAGCTGCTCTAAAAGCCGCAAGAAGTGGACTTTATGATTACTGGCTGTCAGTCTGATAACTCCATTGTCATGTTTCATTATTTCCTCCCACATCCTCATACAAATTAAACATTTGTATGTTCGAATGTGAAGCTCTTGGTTTGGTATGAAAGGATAACCTAAACTTACATGGGACTTCTTTCTGTCATTACTTGTTTCAGGTTTCTGTCTCTGAAATCCACCCATATCTTTGCAACCTTGTGGCACAGTTATTTCCCTTGATTCCCTAGTTTCAGCTTCCCACAAAGTATAAAGCCACAAACAGGAGAAACGTTGCTTCAGGTACAATGCAGCCACTTCTCTTATGTACATCCCTTCATCTAGTAAACGTGCACTTGAGCTGAAATACTGCTGACTTCTCAGAAGTCGTCTGCTAATCATCTGTATGAGGGGGACTCTCACTTACAGATGGATTGGACAGTGGAAGTTGTACCCCCCCGGGGAGTTCCACCTCCATGAGATCTGGCCTCATGGGACATCATCTGGGAGGCCTGGGATCCAGCGGAGATGCCACTGCTGGTAAAACCTGATGAATGGGTTGAGCCTCTGGCACCTAGAACAGATACAAAGGACATGTTACTGACTGGAAGGAGCCTTATGGGATATTTATGAACCACTAGCAACACTAACAAATGCATCAAAAGTCAAGGAGACTGCTGGTTACTTGACTTGTTCCATCAGCATACTGCTTTTTAGCTGCCACCTTAGGGAAAGGACATTTGCAGTGTTTTGTGGATAGTTCCAGAACACAAAGAAAATCTATGACTCTTGCACGGACTGTTTTTCATAAATTTGGATCTCCAAAACAGTTTCAGCACAGTTTGTCTCTGCTGAGAAGCTACCTGAGGACTGTGGAATAAACTACAGGAACTAAGGGTTGTTGCAGACCTCGTTGCTTACTGTGCCATGTGACAGATATGTTCCTTTCACTTCACTTTCCATAGCATAAACCTATACATAATAGATACTTGTAAAATTCAAACACAGTAAGCTGTGGTAGCCACTGCCCAATTTCTATGTATATCTCCATCTCAGTATAAATAAGCCCCAGGTAAAGTATTCCATTGCAAATTCTTATCCTGGGAGAGGAGTAAAGCATTAGTGATGACAAATGTTAGTGATAATGCTTAAAGCATTCCTGGAGAATGCTCAAATATTTTGGTGATGAGCTTGTTATATCATCTGAAAAGTGATACTGAACAATACTCATGCCCTGCTGCAGAATCAGCCACTCCTTCGAGCATGTTTCTTCTGGGGGGAGGAATGGTTACAGTCTGAACGAAAAGGTTAAGAACATGTGTTTGAAGAGTGAGAGATTTCAGTGAGCACCTGCGGAAATGAAATCAGGCCCTTTTAGCTCTCAATCAGGCAAAGAATGTGTGGCAAGCTCTTCTGCTGCAGGGAGCCAAAGCTAACACCTGTCTTGGCAACATTACAGAGCTAGCATTTTTCACACGGATAAAAGCTCTTTTGGAGTATCTCCTGTAGGCATGGCAAAGGTTTCCTTGAGTCATGCATATTACTCTTCACCAAAATAGTGGGTTTCATAAAAGTCCATAGCTGATACAGACATCACAAGAATAAAACTAGGCATTTTTAAATGTTTACTTTGCTTCTCTCATAAAGATTCTCAGCACATGGATACAAGTCTTCAGTTTTAGTTGAGAAACAGCAACTTCATGGTCTTCAGTGGCATCACCATTGAAGAGTTTGCCACTGGCTGAGTACCGCTGTACCACCCTTATCTGTAACAGAAGGCAAAATTGTGCTGATGACTCTGCTCTAGCGTATCACTAGATAAAGTAACTGGCATCACCTGTGTACCAGGATTTCTGCTGCTAATGCAGCCTGGTGCCTGAGAGCAGCTCTTCTTGCTCTTCACTCTCTCAGTTCGGCTATCCTGATTCTCATATTATGCCCCACTGATGCTACTATCCCTTCAGCTCTTTGCTATTGAATATTCAATAAACACTGTATTCAGTAACCTAAACTCAAAAATCAAGCCATACAGAATGGAAATTAAAAAATACCTCACAGGAGTCACATGCAGTATCTCTCTAAAGTCATTTATGTCACTTAATCCCTCGCTGTCTAAAGAGCCTCATGCTATGAATAATTTTGCAATGTAAATCATACCTTAAAAAAATAACTTATTTCCTCTCAATCAAACTTACCACATTTTTTACTGTTAAAAGCTGCCCAAAATCTGGACCCTGGCCAGCAAACCCAGCCAACCACCCATTTTATGTCTAGAAGAGTCAGGTTCAGCCCCATCCTGCAGTTGACTTCCAGCTGCTTACTACAAAAGGAGTAAACCAGAGCTTGACCAATATGGCAGAGATCCCCACCTATAACCAGGCTGGTTATATGCTGGTTAGCATATTCCTGACATGTGGGAGATGTGGGTCCAAGACTCCTAAAGCAGAAAGGGTTTGGAAGCCTTTATCCAAGCCAACAATCTAACTACTGTGCTGCTGGTTAAAGCAGGACTATATGGGGCACCATTTTCTGTGGAGTGATGCCTGCTTAGAGATGCCTGCTGAATGGGGTCACACAGGCAAGTCTGGCAGGGAGAATATCTTATGCATGAATCCCATGGGATCTGGGGTTATACAAGTGCCAAGCTGCTTAGGGTCATCAGGTCAGGGATGGCTCTGTGAATGCAACAGAAAAGCAAGCAGGGTTAGCTCATGTAAAGCCAGCTATGCCCAGTTTTCGTACTTACATACATGCTGTCAAGCATATGTATATATTCCCCTCATGAATTCAGCTTTTGCACTGCAGCTAATTTTCCTCTGCTATAGTGTCTGCATAAGATTTAATGGGTTCTCCCTGTATGGACGTGTGTGAGTAAAAAGCAAGGGAAATCTTATAATATATACAAAATATAAGTACACAGATCTTGTTCTTGCATAAGTGTACTGTAGCTTATTGCTACCATGACTTCCCATATTATTGATGATTCCTAGCAGAATGAAGAGATAGCACAAACTTCAAACAAACGCTGTCCTGAATCTCATACGTACCTACATAGAAAATACTCTTAATAGCATCCCACTCGTAACATGCAGTTCAACATAGAAATCTTTTATCTTCAGAGCAATACAAGAAGGTAGGAGAGAAGAGATTACTTGGCAAGCTTATTTTCAAGTACAAAAAAACTCTTTGTCTTTATGTAGTAAACCACAAACACCACCCCCTCACCCCCCCAAATTACTCATACCCATTTCCTGGAGAGTAGAGGTAGGGCCTCCAGAATGCACACCTCCCCCAGAAGCTTTTGCTTCATGGGACATCATTGATGAAGCAAGTGATCCTCGTGTGATCCCCGAGGAAGTGAAACCGGCGTTGTGGACATTTTGGTCAGACATTTCTCTTTCTGGTGGTGTGGCATCCACTGAAGCACTGAGATGCTCAGCCAATCTTTTTATACACTGTCCAGCTAACAGCAGAGAAATGAAACTGCTGCCACCATCAGAAAGAAATGAAACTAAATCTTACCCTCAGCCAGGAAATGAAACTGAACTTTATGACCATGCCTTTTTAATGCTGTTGGCAGGGTGAAATTTAGGCAAACCAACTGATCTCCTCTTATGATACTAAAGCAAATAAGTAGCGTAATGAATCACTGATTGGCAACTGACGTGGCTGAGAACTTTGCCTCTTTTTCATTGCACTCTATTCTACTGAATTGCACCTGTAGGAGCTAGCCCTTCATTGTAAGAATTAGTACAACCCTGAGTAAAGACAATAGGAAAAAAGGCAGCAAAGTGGTCATCATGCAGAAACTGCAACTTGAGTTTGTTATAGCACCCAGAGTACAGCTACCCCTGGAAAAAACGGTTTACAGAGAGCTGGAAATCAGAACTCGATTAACAATGGATGGTTGGAATTAATTTCTTTATGGAAGGAACTGTTAGGGGACCTTGCGTCCTGCAAGGAGACTGACACAGATGTTTTATTTTCCCTCATGCTAAAGCAGACGCTCCATCTTTAATGAACAGGACTTTGCACAATACACACACTCCTTTATTGCAGCTTTTCTAAGCCAATAGTTTAAATAAGGCTGTCTAAAACTCCATAGGTCTCCTCCCTTAAGTAGAGAGGAATATCTGATTAGGTCATACTACCACAGGGATGGCTCTCAAAGTGGAAATATACAAAATAAAAATAGAGCATTTTCAGGGTTCTATAACATCTATATCTTGTACGTGGTGGATTATAGAACTAAGGATAAAAAGTCCATTCCTCTCTTCTTACATGTGCTATTTATCTGAGCAGTGGGATATCTGGCCTGTGTACCCCGGAGTAGTACTGCTCTTTTAACTCAGTTTTTCTTTAATTCATACGTATTAGTTTTCTGGAATTCTAAGTGTGTAATTCTTATTTTCTATTTGCATTAGGGCTTCTCTATTATGATGAATCTTTATACCCATAATTTCTCAGGTCTTTCACTTACAATTCTAAATTACTTAATGTTATAAAATATCTACAGTTGCAGCTTAAATGCAAGTAAAATTCCAGGTAAGAATATGACAGTTAATGCTATAAGCCCACTTCAAAATAGCAATAAGAGAAAATGTCGCTTTCTTTGTATATATTACTACAGATCCTTCTTTCAAAACTGCTAAAATCTTTTGGTGCTTTGTTAATACCATTTACTTAATATAGCCCATCAGGAAATTATTATGAAGTCTGGCAAAGCTACACAGGATGAAGGCTTCACAAACTTGCAGACACTCTGTATGTGATGACCTTTTACTCAATCTTAAAACACAATTCATAATGGATAGACACAAAGTTGTTTAACTAAAAATACTTAAAATTAGATAAAATAAAAGTTTTATTGCAAGCAAAGTGCCTCAAGGCAATTCACAGTTGGCAGAGACATCAGTGAACAGGCAGGGAAAGGAGAAATTAATCGTAGTCTCATAAAAGCAAGAAGAAACCCAGTGTAATAAGGAGGGGGAAGCCACAGAAGAGATTCAAGGGAAGCCTCTGTTTACAACTGTGCCATGGACCTAGTCAGCAAGGCCATGACTTTAAAATCTGCTAAGTGGCTGCAGTGAGTTGAAGAATGTGTGAATAGGCACAGACCACAGGGTACTAAAGCCAGCTGAGCTCTGCCTACTTTCATGCTCTTGTTACTGTAGTGGCATGGCAAGTAACAGTTATGGAGAAGTTCTGGCCTGGGAGGGGGTTGCTTTTGCTTGTTTTCAGCTCATTATGAAAACCTGGTACAGTCTCTTGTGTGAAAATGAAAGAAACCAAGGTCAATCTCTTGTACCTTGTGAGGGCTGAGCCTGGCCAGACCTTGACTATGTGACCACACCTGAACCTGAGTTGTTGACTCATGCTTCTGGCTTCACCTTGGACTTGCCTTATCACTACAAACTTTCCTGATGATTTGGACCTGCCCATTATCTCTGAGTCTGCCGTGCTCACCCTGTTTGTGGTGGTGGGACAGGGCCTGGCTGTGCCCTGGCAACACATGACACTGGCATCACAGCCTCCAGTTTAAACATGCCAAATGTCGATGCTGAAGTAGGATTAGGAACGAGAACTCAGTCCCTGAGCCTGCAGCTTCCAGAGGTCCTCTCCCTCCCACCTGCTTTTTTGCTTTGTTTTACTGACATTTCTGGTTAGAAAGTGTGACTTCCAAGGTGTTAGGTGGGTGTAGTTGGTATCCAGCTGAGTTTACAGGGAGCTTGACACAGGAGCACTAACGCACTTCTAAGTCTTTGTGGACTGTTTGCCAAAAATCCAAGCAGTGATAATTAAAGAGCCAAACTGATGCAGCTTCTTGTTCAAGTACGGAAGGAAAGAGAAATACACCAATCCTGACATTTAAGCAATGAATTGGACATGGGAGTAATTTCTCTGTTCCAGAAGGTAAAAGTCTGAGGAGAGGAGATGAGTTGTGTAAGCTGTAACAAAAAGCATCCAGTAGCACTCCTAAGCCTCAGAGAACAGCTAGCCAAAGCCATGAATACCAAGAGTACAACTGCTTTTATTTTCAGCATCACTACAATTTCAGTAGCTGTAGGTGCTGAAGCATTTATACATGTAGCTAATATAGGTTGATTTTTAACTTTCTGAATTTCAGGTTTCATCCTTCAGTGCCAAAAATCATGTGCTGTCTAGACTGTGTGCTTTTGAAAGGAACTGGTAAACAGAGGCTTGGTTGGAAATACTCTGAAAATTTGGGCCATGGGCATCCTTCCTTTTTTCAATCAATAAAAAGAAGAAGAAGAAAGTGTGCTAAGCTAAAATCACAAACCAACACAACCAGATGTGCATGCAACTCTTCCATATTTTGCTCAGGAATGACCTTACTCACTTGTGTCTGTGAATACATAAACTACTGTGTCTCTTCAGTATGTTTTCCTTGAAGCCACCACTAGTGTGCAATTTAACAGATATTTTCCTCATAGTGAAGCTTGGCAGCTGATCACAGACATTAATCTCTGTGTAGCCTCCTTTTGGTAGTCACCTTTTTTATTCCAATAACATGTTCATTGAAGTCACTTTTTCATAAATATTTTCCCATAAACCTCTGTTTCAAAAGAGATTATTCAAACAGCTTTTAAACAATTACTCTTTTGAAGGGTCTAATTGAAGGAAATAAACCTGTAGAGAATCTGACTGAACCAAAGATCTTCAGCATCCAAGATTATCTATCTGTCACCCTGTGACCTATTTCCTTCACACTACTTTTTAATTTTTGTAGCAATTATAGTGTATATGGATAATACCTATTAGCATATTTATGGTCATCGCTTCATATTTATTGTCTGCACAACTCATTAATCTTCATCTAGTGTGTGAGGCTGACAGCTCAATCTATTTTGCAATCTCTGGGCAGCAGCCATATCCAAAAAGCTTTTGTTTCCCTGTAAATAAACTGTGTTCAGGACCAGAGGACAATGGTACATCATGCAGTGATTGACACCAGCCATGGCTGCTAATCAAAAGTAGATTTTATTACCAGCTGAGTCAAGTGCATTATGGGGCCATTGTTCTAGTGCTGTCAGGGCAAGAGCATACGTAGTCAGTCACCTTCTCAAGATGGGCTGATTGTTCTCCAAGATTAGACAGAGTTGCCTTATTATCCATCCCAGACAACAAGGCATCTCACCCAAACAGACGCCTTTACAGAAACTGCCTGTACATTGAATTGATTTGAATTGCTAATGCATAATCTGTCCAGCACAGATGTGCAATGAATATTTGGATGTTGTTTTGCATGTCAGTTGAGAAGGCTGAATGATGAGGTGATGATCGTTCAGTGATGGGTACTGGACATTTGCCAACAATTGAGTTTGAGCACTTTCCCTGACAGTAATCAGATCAGCTTCCAAAACGTCTTTTCTTCAATTCACTGACAATTTATGTTAGAAGATAATGCAACACTCTCACAGTTAACACAGTTGGCAGCAATTTGCATTTTTTTCATATAATTAAATTTTTCATTTCACCCAAGGAGAGATATATACAAGCCACATATAAGTGATATATATATTCCAAGACACTTCCAAAGTAACTCCACTTGAATAAGAGGCCATCTAGGTAAGTCCAAAACGTTGAAACTCTCCGTAATACAGACAGCATTAGTTTTATTAGTTATGAAGTTACATTTGCTGTGAAAAATATAGGAACCTCGTTATCAAGCTGATCAGGTAAGCTCTCCGAAAAAACCAATTAATATAGTAAGCGTTTAATGTATGACCATGGTCATGCTTATGGTAGGTCAGCAAACACAATGCTGTGATTTAAAATATTTCAGTCTCAGTCAGGATTGACATAGCATAAAAGAGGATCAGAAATTGACCACACAGGACTGACAGTATGACATCACAGAACTGGTAGGAGCTCACACAGGGACATCACATGATTCACGTGAATGTGAAAGAGGTCCTTATGTAGTCATAGAATCATAGAATCACACAGATGACTCTGGAGGTCGTTCAGTCCAGACAGGGACTTACGCTGTTACTGGCTCAGAGACACGCTTGGTTGAGTTCTGAGCATCTCCAAGGATGGAGATTCCACATGCTCTCTGGTCAACTCGCTCCAGTATTTGACCACTCTTACAGTGATTTTTTTCCCTGTACACATGGTCAGAATGCTGCAAGTTATGTCTGTTGTCCTGTCTCTGTGCATGTCTGAGAAGATTCTCCATCTTCTATATATCCCTCACTACTTCAGATCTAAAAAGCAGATTTAAAACCCCACCTTTAGGACATAAGTAGCTAAAGAGCTATTGGTAGCTCAGGAAATCAGAGGCTCATGGGGACACTTTTGATACTTTAAAAGTTTTACCTTTGAACTTTAGATATGTGTCTAGTGTGTCTCTAATAACTCAGTGAAA